AACATGTACGTTGTACAATGTCAATGCATGTAGTAATAATTTGGGCAAATTANCTTTTTTAAAATTAAGTTTTGGAAATTTATAATTTTTACATTATGTTTTAGCATGCCCACATCTCAAGTTAAGGTTGTACTTTCCAACATGTTCATAGTTAATGCATTTGCATTAAGACACACATGTCAAAAATTTATGTCCCAGTCTACATAGTTATAATATTAGCCATTACACACAGAATAGCATTACATTACTATTATTGCTTAATTTGACTTACCATTACAATTCACTGCTATGTACCTCTCTATCTCTTTATATAGTGTTTCTGTCATGCCCAAGGTTCTACTGTGTCCAGAAATTTGGTTCATCTAAACTGTCTGGAAGCCATTTTACAGTTTGAGTGCTTCAGAATAAGCGAAACTCTGAAAATGTTATTAAAAATTGTAAACTGACAAATGACAACCAATTTTTTGTTGAATGGTATGCATGAATCTGCTACATTATAATTAAGCGTTTACATCTGTATTTGTGATCATAGGAATAATCCTTGCTGAAGCTACCCCCTGACATACTTAACAGGATTGCTTACTTAATTAAGGTTTGTTTATATTACAGTATTTCCAATCGATGTACATGTATTTAATAGGAGGAAGTAATTATAAAAGTTGAAAACTTTTCTATCAGGCCTCACGCTTTTAGCCTTTTTCTATGTACATGTACATATCCTCACCTTTTGAATCTTCATGAATTCTTAAAGACAGTTACTATACCTGTACAATTGTCGAAGTACGCTTGTTTCTCAGTGTCTTATAATGTCATAATTATTAATTTTAGGTTCAAGACTGCTGACTCAAATGAAAAGTTTAGATACTTCATTGATGTGATGCAACACTTTTCTTTAGAGAAAGCTGTAGTCAACACTTCGGAGGTCACTTTGTACTACAAAGTCGCCAATCTTGTGGATGGTGACAAAAGATATGCCTGGTTAGCCCTAAAATAATCAGGGTGTCATACAGGGTAGTGGGAAATCCCCCCCTACTCTAAGTTCCCCCCCCTAAAATAGTCTGAGTGGTTCATACTGCTACATCCGCCGCCTGTGCTTATGATTTATGCCAAAAATAGAATATAGCTATTTTATGCAAACCTTTATGCTCCTACATATACTTACACTCGTGTAATATTTTTGTGTTATGACTGAAGCCCAGGCAACATTTTGCTAGCAAGACTTGTGGTTACTTTGATTGTTTGAACAACTTGTTGCAAAATTCGTGCTGATTTCTATTCTGTTCATTACAAGATCAATGTAACCGCATATGTTGCTAACACCATGTTTCCTTGTGTGTATGAGCTAATCGGAAGTGCATGTACATGTACATGTATTATATATCAGATATTTTATTTCTGATTATCAAATTTAATTTCTTTTGCAAGCATAATAAGTCAAATTTAACTTTAAAAATGACACGACTAAGAAAATGTAATCATCATAAAGCAGGTTATTCTCATGGCACGTAGCTGTAATCAATCTCTGTTAGTATTGTCTATTGATTAATTATTACATAATGTAATCTTTCATTTTTTCTCTCTTATACATGTAGGTGCGTTAGATATAGTGCGTCCATTTTGTTCGGTGGTCATCAATGAAGAGACAATCGGCCCAATAACTGGCCTGGCTATAGGAGCACTGGATAAGTTCTTTGCCTCAGGATTATTAGGTATCTAACTAGTAGCGACATAGAACTAGTAGCGACACAGGATTTTTAAGGAGTGGACATTATGAAAGTGATGAGTCAGTCCTTGTGTTGGTATATGAAGTACACTTGATGCATATGGGGGGTATATGGTCATGTACATGTAAGAAAGGTGTCTGGAGTGTTGTAGTGCCATTATCAGTTAAGAGGCTCTTACTGTATCCTATTCTATCATTTACAGTTACTTTATTCTTTCATGTTCCTATTATTTTCATGTACATGTAGATCCATCTTATGATAAAGCAGCTCATGGTTTCTGTGAAGTGGCTGAAGCTATCACTCATGCTCGGTTTGTGGGTACTAGCACTGCCAGTGATGAAGTCGTACTCATGAAAGTACTCATAGTACCTGATAATGAGGGAGGGAGGTGAGAGAGACAGAGAGTGATTTAATCTTTGATTTAATACACACACACACATGTATACATATATTCATATTATTTCACCTTTTTCTCTACAATAGTTCTCTAAGTGGTGATAGTCCTACTGCTCCTGCGGGTAGTACATTCACGACATCAAGAGGTGTCCATTTTTCTGGTCCAGTAGGAGGAGGAGACGAGGGAGAGAAGTCTCCTCATGGTATGCCTTGCGTTAGGGAAGTTCTGAGGTTTTTCATTTCCATTATCAATCCTAAAGACAGGTGAGCCTGTTACTCTATGTACTGGAAAATCTATAAAAAGCATTACTTGTTCTTTTTCAAAAGTTTTGACAGTTTGAATGAAACAGTATTGATGTATTTGAACCTGTGTGCCCATTGATCCCTTATTTAGTCATACATGTATAGTCTTCTTTCTTTTCTCTCTCTTCCTTTCCTCCATAAAGGAATGACAAACGAGTGATATGCATTGGATTGGATTTGGTGACTGTTATGTTGGAGTGTGGCGGGAAGAGTCTTGTAGACATTAAATCACTGAGAGTTCTCA